GAGCACTCAATGCGTCAATACGTGGTGTGTGTATAGCGTTGTTGTGGTGTTCACTACACTGTATGAGTACCCATGCATTCTCTATGAGTGCCAGTACAGAGTGTATGCAATTCGGTCGCCATTTCATACAGTGAGTGCAAAAGAGGTGTCACTCGAGTGTAGCACACATTGAGACCACAGACAGACATCGGATCCAATTGATCGCTATCTCATAGTCTCTTAATTAGTCACTTTTAGTAACCCATTTCACTCAACCCATTGTCTTAACCACTGATTTAGCCATCGTTTTAGCCGTAAGTGTTTTGTCTGTAATTTTCATCATTTGTTTTGACATTTAATTACAACAAAAAATATTTTATTATTTTTTTGTTTATTTTTATCACTTATTATTCAATACCTATTCACCACTCATTTGCCGACCATTTGTCGTCCAATATATCGTATATTAGCACCAAATCTGTGTCTTAAGACTAATTGTGTGTTTAATGTCTGTCTTATAGTTGAAGGAAATCTCATTGTATTTGTTGTCACTCTTTGTATTCATAGGTTTGGATCAATTTGTTTGACAATTAAGTGATTAATTATTAATATAATAATTATAGGGAAAGTGCACTAAAAATAACACCAAATAATCGTTTCAATGATTACATAACTATACATGAAATGAAACCACAAATGCATTACAAATAACTAAATGTCTGAATAATTAATTAATATTAATGTTTGCCTTTGATTTTCACTTTCATTATAGACAGACACCCAGTGTTGCGGTCCAGTCATCGATACGACTGTTTTGCTATCAATTCACAAGACATTTGTTATCATATTATCAATAAATTGAGTCAAATATGTCGGCGAATAGAAGTGGAGTCCAAAGGCCTAACGGTGCCACTCAGGGAAAGATATGTCAGTTTAAACTCGTATTATTAGGCGAATCGGCGGTCGGGAAGTCCAGTCTAGTGTTGCGTTTTGTGAAGGGACAGTTCCATGAGTACCAGGAAAGCACCATTGGAGGTATGACACCACCAGTCCCTCTGTCTGTCTGTCTGTCTGTCTGTCATCTCTCTCTCTCTCTCTCTCTCTCTCGTGTTCATATATTGAATATAGTATTAAACGATTGTTTTGTTTGTTTGCAACGACAGCCGCATTCCTGACCCAAACGGTATGTTTAGACGACACGACCGTTAAATTTGAGATCTGGGACACCGCCGGACAAGAGAGGTATCACAGCTTAGCGCCCATGTATTACAGGGGAGCGCAGGCGGCTATCGTCGTATATGATATCACTAACCAGGTATTGATGCGTGAATTGCGGTACCGTTTGTCTGTCAACACTAACTCCCGTTTGTTGT